TCATTATGAATATTTATGCTTAAGAAAATTCCGTAGTTAACAACGTATTATAACATTTTAGATCGACTCATAAACAAAATGTATATCCATTTTAGAAATGGATCATTGTTAAAATAAAACCTCCTGAAAAAAATAATAAATATCATACAAATTCTCAGTTCATCACGAGAAGATGTAAAATTAGATTCCATCGTCGAGGGATTGCAATGTTCTGATTATCTCTCTCTTTTGTGAAAATTCATTTAAAACGTTGTTTCTATATTATCGACGGCAATGGGTATCTGTTTTGTTGATAAACTAATTTAGCTACAAATAAGTGGGGAGCCATGCCTTTGTGATAAAACCCCTAACACTGATTACACTACTAATACACTGGCCTTGCTTTCATCGGCTTTAACATGACAATAATCTTTATGTGAAATTGCACAGTGAATAACTCTGGGATGATTTCTGTGTAAAAATTGTAAATTTTGCTAGGGAACATCCTAAAAAACAAATGAAAAAGACAAGAGTTTAACGTCATGGCCATACGTCAACTCTTTATTTCGCATCTACATTTGCAGCCCAGTTCGATTTTTACATTACAGAAACACAATTATCTTAATGACTAGTTCGACGGGAAAATGAACAACTCTCCAGTGGAACCTCGCCTGGCCAATATTTCAGCGAGCCAGAGCACAATGCATAACCTTGTGGTTTTTCCGAAGAGTCAATCTTCTGTTTTAAAAGCTAATTTCCCGGTAATATTATAAGCAAATAATTAACATTTCGCGCCCAACATGCGATGTAACGTGTGCCAGCGTTTTAGAGTGACAACCTTCTACCTGTCAAATAAGACACATGACGGGACCACGGCGAGAGAAAGGATCATTACTTTTGAATAGGTGCTGAATGTTTCAATTAATATCTGATAAGCTATTCTGAAAGGGATAATCTCGAGACAATGTTCAGTCATCCTTCTCCAGCTACAAGACCCGTCCCAACTGAGAGGATAATTCGGCGATGAAATGCTGTAAAATAACAGTGAAGTTGAGCATATCTGTTTTTGATAAGGCTTCTGTAGCCACCAGAAAAGCCCCCTCCCCATTTTATTTTTCTCAAGACCAACGTGGAAACTCACTCACCGGGATGAAGCTTATGTAAAACAACCGTATGACGTCTGAACACATTTCTTAACAATCGAAAGAAATAATACAATGTTATATCAGCACAAATGAGCCTATGTGAACACGTCAAGGGAAGCCGTAATAATCAATGCAGTTTAATATTTTTTCGCACGTTAATGAAAAAGGAAATAAATATTTATTCATGAATATCAAGGAAACAATCAGACCGTAAAATTATGTAAGAACCAGTCATCAAGTGAACCGTGGTGACGTAATGAAAAACACGGGTCTTTGGGTACGGCCGAGTGCCTGCCGCCATTTCTCTGAGCCGGACTGGGGTGACGTTGGGGGTCTTTCGGTGTGCGGCATTACACGTCATGTAGGCATTGAAAGCGATAGAGGCAACACAAATGAATAGGGTGCAGGGTCTGGTGTTGTCTAGCGTGCTGCAATGGCTTTTGTGAGGACGTATAAAGCGGAAAGGACGCCTAACCAGGCATGTTCATATTAAATATACGCCTTGCACATATCAAAAGAAAGGTTAGGCAAAAAAATACGCCCTGTTTTGTCATGAGGCAGATCAGTTGCAAGGCCTCGATCCCACGGTCTTTGGGGGCTTTGAATTGGTCTGTTTAGACAACTTCCATCAGTGGATTGAAAAGGAAAAGGGGGGCATGCTTGACAACCTTCTGATTTGGACAATGACAAACACATTGGGCATACTTCTCACCTCGTGCTATGTTAGGCTGTCAATAGTGTTTAAATTAACTAAGTTTCAACGACTGACGGGGCGACCCTGGGCCCTTTCAGTCCTTATTTTGGTCCCCTTAGTTAAGAAGAGAATGAATGGAGACAGTCAACGTCTCAACGCTCACCTTTAGTGCCCGTCCAAAAAGCAAGCAACCGGCCCATGAATTTTAATGTCACAGCCATAAATACTAATGAAGTTCTAGTTTGCCTTTAATTCGATTTGAGATCCATCCATAAAAAACGCGTCCTAAATGTCCCAGTTGCCGAGTAGCGAGAGGAATACTGTGGACATTAAATGCTAAATGAAAGCGCAGGATAAGCTTTAACTGAAAGTTAAACATTCTTTGCTTTAATCTACTGTATAATGGTATTTTCACCTTTTCACTCGGGTTAATCCTCGGCGCAATCTTGACAGCGAAAGGTGAGAATGTGATCATCATAGCAAGCCCTTTAAAACGACAGCCATTTGCTTCTCATAAATCATACCCAATACCGGTAGAAGTGCTTGCAAACAAATAATAAAACGCTGAAAATACCCAGATGGGGGAGATAAAAAGAAAAAGCAACGAAACACAGTAAATACCCCGAGGTTTCGCTTCACACCCACTGTTAGGGTAACGTCCAGTCATTGAAAACATTCAATCTGTGCATGTGGTAGTTTTCATTAGTTCGCCCCACATAATACACTAAATTGAACTAAAATACCAGAGTGCAACATAAAAGGCCAAACTCAGAAGAAAAAGGGATAAATAAAATAAAAATAAAAAAGAAATAAAAAAGATGCACATGTTTCAACCAAGGACGCGCTGACATTAATTCGGTGTTCATTTGAAGGAAAGCACGTTTTAAGGGTTTTTTGCTAGTGTTATAATGAGAAATTCGATTACAGGGCAAGCCTGATAAAAGGTCATTTAGAGTGCGGTCAAAATGACTGGGGTTTATACCTGGATAATTCGCAATGAAGATTTTTGTGTGAATGCTAAGGGTAAACATTGAGATGCAACAGATTCGTAGATGAGAAATGGACAAATAAAGTGAGGACTTTAAATAGAATATGAAATTGATGAGCCCAATTATGTTACTGTTCCATTTGAATTTATGGTTTCCAGAGCCCCATACAGCCAGAAAGGTTATGGCATTAAATTGGATACAGCAATATCCTATCTGTGTTCGCTCTTGTGTACTTTATTGTATCAATTTTATTTGCTATATTTTCATCTGTTTGGAACATCGATATACTTCACAATAGAAGCAGACACTATTGCAATATAACGTGATTGGCATAAATTGACAAGAAACGTTTGCAAGTGCAAGCACCTCGAGTACAAACATCTTGCAGTAAAATTTTGAGCAAAGTCTCAAATTAAATGCTGTGTTTTGTCCCGATTTTTTTTTTTTTTTTTTTTTTTTTTGTAAAGCAGCAACAGACATTTGTTGGTCTGTATCAATTCTGAAATCAATGTTCGTTTGGTCAGTTTCAATTATCCAATTTATCGTCTGCTCGAAACAAAGAAAATTGGAAGGATTCCTGCTTACAACTTGTGGTCACCGCTTAAGCTGTTAAGGGAAAAAGCAGAGCTATTATTGAGCTCTTCATACGCGTTTGTTGGGTTTTTTAATCAACAAAACAGCCTTAATTATCCGGCAACTCAGGTGGGAAAAGGTCAGGGTCTACTCTTCGGTCAGTCAATATAACTATGGCAGAGTGGTATGCCAGCCAAAAAAACATCTTCACCTTCGAAAAACTCAAAACGCCCAGACAAAATACCTTAATGCCTTTCTCAATACCATCAGTACTTGCATATGCCTTTCGGAAATCGGATTGTTTATCAGGCACGAAAGGAACTAAAGCAAGGTTGTAACTAAACAACCCTTATGACAAAACCGCCATCTTTTTCACTGCCGTATTTTATCTGAAACCAAGTCAAGCACCGCCTGCATCAGGGTCGATGTTTATGATCGTGCATTCAACCAGTTGGAATTCTGACAAGAGGTCCCGTTATTCTGACAACCCTTTCAGGAACACTGCAGTGACAAACCAGTGACTAAAGTACAGATGCCTGTGTATGTAATATGGTGCCCCATGAGCACGATGAACATATACTCAAAGAACAAAACAAGTACACTGCCTTAGTTCTGTATTACCAGCTTTAAAGCCTCATATGTATATATGCAACTCACTTTAAATTCTCGTTGGGGTAGTACAAACTTTCCCGATCGATCTTGTGTTCTCTATTAGAGTGAACTGATACCGATAAAGCACATTTGCTAGAGCGAATTAAACACTTTGTATGACATTTCTACAATTAATTATTTCAAATGGACGCTACTTTCCTGAAAGCAAACAAACCCCTTATTCCAGGTGAGCGTTTGTGCTCGCGGGTCAGCAAGAATTACTCTGAGGTTGCATTCTCTATCGATTAAGAGCAAAAAGTAAATTGAGTCTCTATCCCAAAACAAATATCATAAATTCAAAACATTCGTGAATGAGGCCTGCCCTCTTGATCGTTTCAAGCTTCGTCCTAGCATAAGTACAACAGACAGCTTCTACACGGTTCGGAACACAGGTTAAATGGCTTGTGACATCATGGTTATGAAATATTCACGTACACTGGATTCTCTATAGATTTAAGAAGTGATTTTAATTATTCTCGAGACTATATTGATCTATGAAAACAAAAGGTTTTATTAGGTGGCCTGTCTACATACCACGTCCGACAGGTCAATGCAGTTACATGAAAGGTCATTCCGAGCTCAGATATACGTGTAATAATCATTATGGATTACTGGCGTATACAATGCCACTCAAGATACGTATTGGTTTGCCAAAAGGAGGCCAAATGAATTTGGAATACAGTATATTTTCCTCGATCTGAATTTCTCTTGTTTTTGCATCATGTATTCTAAATTGAGTTAAACGTATCCCGTTTGCCGGTGACTTGAGTAAGCTGACACTTCGCCACAGAAAGTGATTGGATTCGGCACCTCGAGGTACCTCGTGAGACCGTGCCATTGGGATACAACCCTAGGGCATTGGCCCGCCCACCAGCCCATATAAAGTCGAGCGTGACTGAAGTATCAACCTTAACTGTTACCCCACCGGCAATTCAAAGAAACATTCTCCGAAAAAATAAACAGCAAATGTAGAGTTTTCAAACTCAGATTTTAATGAAGCAACAGAAACATGGGAAATGCAAAAGATGATTGTTGTAAGACTTGAAAAGTCGTCTTGGACGACACACTATTCCGCAACACAAAAATTGAGAAAAATAAAGAAACAAAAATTAACATTTAGTCTTCGTATTAAGAAAAGTCTCCTTTCAAATGCTGATAGCAATTCTTAATAAACCTATAGTAGTATGAAGGTTCTCCACTGAAGCGGTCAAGGCTCAGCACTCAGAAATACAAAATCACTTAATAATAATAATGAGATGGGAACACAAGACGAGAGTGGCAAAGCTAGGGCAATCTGTGAATGTTTCAATTACAATATCTAAACATATCTACGGGATACAATATCTCTGATATTTTTTTCTATTACAGAAACTTAGCTTCTAGTGCCAACCTGTCTAATTGCGTGTTTTGATATAACCAAATACGGCTGAGATCGTTAGTCAAAATTACTATATTACTATGGCCAAGCCATACTCACTTCACATCCAACAAAAATTTCGGCCACACTACGTGCGCAATGTTTTCAATGATACTATTCAACTTTTCCTTAAATACATTTTACGAATTGAGTGAGCACCAAAAATGAGAATAATTCAGCACGAAATTATGCTGCTGACGAGCGCCTTGCTACCCGGCCAGCCTCGCTTGTTGTTATTTATACACAATTCCAACAATTCAACCGTAATCCTACCAATAACAAACAAATAATCTGAGCATTTTCTCCTTCGCACAGCACTTCAGTACAAATATTTTACCAAATTGTGTCATAATCTCATCGTTGCATAGCTTTAAGCTATAGCGTGCTTGTAGTCTTTCCTTAGAGGACAAGGTATGACGCAATCCTTAATCAGAAATGTAATGACAGAAAATACTAAAAGTTAAGCAAAACTTAACAAAAATGCTGGTTGTGCAACTAACTTAAAATGTCTTATGCAAGTCTTGGTTTTGAACCACATAGAATATAAACGACGACACACAAACATGAAGATATATAATAGATAATATATATTGATGTTTTCTGCATTGGCCTTGCTATATATAGACATTTTTCAACACCTAATAATCTACTCTGCATTTGAAATTTCGTACATATAATTATCTTATAAACAAGGTCTCTTATTTATAATAATCAAATATTTACTTACATAGGTAAATTAAAAATAAAACATTATATCTATCTTACACATATAGTGGGCTTCTAAAATCCTGGAAATTCTCATTTTGGTTAAGTGCTATATCACCGTCATATATAAAGGGTTTTGTGACACTTCGGTTTGTTTTTAAAATGTTGTATGTGGCTGTCTAAAATAGAAGACTGAAGCAAGTGATTTTGTCCCTGATATCTACGTCATTCATTTAATGGTAGGGGACTTGGAGAGAGCATTTGATACTGTCCATCTTTGCCACGAATCACATCAAACCAACAGTTCCTATCTTAACAACTGACACGATTATCAACACAATATTCACCTATCAGTTTCTTGTCCATCGTTGTAACACTACACACAAACACTGTCTAAACAAACGGTACTCAAGAATCTGCTAGACGATTATGCATTCAAAAAAGGTTTTGGAACCTTTGTTTTTATCATTAATTATTATTTAATATTAAAAACACCGATGTTTTATGTTACACAATGAAAACATTTAGTAAGTGTTCAAAACACACAAAAATGTGAGTGATAAAAAGTAAACTTTTCTTTCCTTTTCAAGGCAGTGTGTAACTGTAAGTCAGCTTGCACATACTTCTCACCCTTTATCCTTCTTAGAGACCTTCTATAGTCTTACCGAACGTTTTTTGCCCACTATCTAGGCTTAAAAAGTTCCTTGGACCACGTAAAGTTTGCTGTTACACAGCATCTCATCTTACAAATATCTTGCAGATTATTCCTTGATTCCAGTGTTTGCTTCGTGCATGCACTTTTCAAGCATCCAAATACTGCTCTCTCCGCACATGAAAAAATGTACAATATCTCGCATCTTAAATTCAGTTAGTAAAAAACATGGCTGCCATTGGATCAGTTGAAGATGTCGTTCCTGCTCCTTTTATGAAAGACTACTTGGAAATGCATATAAATATCAAGGTCTGATTGTTTTGGGGGTACCCTCAACATCCCCATGTGTAGTGAATTGTGCAAACAATATTATTAACTCCTCTCCAGTGGTTGTTATGCTAAAGTGGCACATAGGGTAGAAGTTTTTATTATTATTATTATTATTATACGAAGTGACGCCTTGTATTGTACTCTCTGTGCAGAAATGTTTCCATTCCATTAGACCAAAGCCTGCAGTAAGACATGATCAAAATGGCCCCCTTCTTGGCACCGTTCATTTAGCGCATGCGCCAAAGTTTTGAGCTTTCTGTCAAGTAAGAAAAATTCTCAGAACGATGGAATTCAAAAGAATTTTTTAAAGTTTGGCCTCTTCTATTGAATAGCCATATAGGGCCAATTAAAAGACCCGCCACTTAAGAGCATGTCCCGTATAAGAGTCTCAATTGGAGTTTTCCCTACCAGTCGTACAAAGAATAACTGTTCAATAACTTGGGCACTGACAGTGCGAAGCGAGGGTAAGCGTAGTAAGAGCTTACCGAAGCGAGTGGGTTGGTTTGGGTACTGACTGCGAACGTACTCTTCCAAAGCACACTGGGATTTTTCTTGAAGGCTTTCGATATGACCTTGATCGGATAGGCCGCAAGCATCTGGAAAAATATAATAAAATGTGAAATATTTACTAATTCATTTCAATGAGTCGTTATTTATATATACTGTTAAAAATAACATCTCAAATAAATGAAAAAATATTCACATTTTAATTCTTTCCTTTATAAGAAAAACAATGCACAGACATTAAATTATTCTCTCTCTCTTTAATATAAAATTGCTTTGAGTTCTCCTTTACTGTTCTGTAAATATTTTAGTTTAGCGGTCAACATTGGTTATATGTTTTCATGGATTTGTGACTTTCAGATATTGAGATTAGATTGATAAAACACACACACGCTTACATCAACATGCAATCTAGGGCATGCACGAGACAAGAGATTATTATAGCCCGGGTGCATGAGCATATAAATCTATTTTTCATCCGTTTTGTACGTGATTAACATCGCCTTTTAAGGTTCAAGCTTATTATTTTTCATATTATTGGATACATCCTGAGGCTCGATGAAAATGAAAGCTGTAAAGTTAGATCATTTATTTTCCTGGAAATTTGTCTGGATTTGTCACAAAATTAAGAGGGGTAAAGTTCGATAGGCTGAGTTACAATTTTTCGAACCATACCGATAGAGCCTATCATACACAAAGCGCAGTTTTGATTAAAAACAATACCCCATAAATATCGGCATCGTGACAATATTATATTTGATATAACTTGCCCATTTTTTTTTTTTTTTTGTATTTTTCATGTGTAGTTGAATAATATATTTTCTCATCACATTGTTAAAAATGTTATATAAAGAAAATATATAATCAATAATAAAATATCCACCCATATTTTAATGCCTCTTTTTATTTAATATTTGACATGTTGAACCTCCAAATCATTCCAAAATGTTTCTCTCCATGCGGGTTCTAGCTATTCTTATATTCTCTGCCATAAAATACGTCGTTTTTCTTTCAGAGTGAAAAAGAGAATGAAAAACGATCTGTCGACGTATTGTAAGCGCACAGTGATGAAGCAGACGTTGGTTTGAACTTGACACTGTCCACAAGTCAGAAAGGTAATTTTCATGTGAAACGACTTCGACACAAAAGAGCTCGACATCGGAGCCATTAAAAACTACAGTATCATCAAACGAGGATTTACGATGAAATTCTACAGCCCGCAAAAATACGATGTATAATCATAGATAATGGTCACGTGAATCATAACTAAAATTACAATGTGGATTAATGACAGAAATTGTTTTGTAACTTTAAAATTTCTAACTATTACTAAATTTTTAAGGCAGTAAAGGTCAACAAATTTCCTTTTTTGTTTACCTTTTTTCATTCTAAAGTCGACAAAACAATTTTGAAAATGTGCGTGTAAAAGGTCTATTTATGCCCTTTTATACCCAAATCATCTCCTTATACAATAGCATTTATATTAATACATTTACAAAGTTGTAGAAAAAATACAGTGCCATACTGACAGGGTATTCTATTATTTTTCTCTAAAATAAAAAATGCCAACCACTATATATTTCAGACTCTATTCTAATTTATTCTAAATTGTACAAAAATAAATTATAATACAAAAACGTCCATTTTAAATAAACAACCTCAAAGGTGTTATCAAACATAACAGAAAGGAATCATTATCACACGGGAGTTTGTACCTGGAAGACCACAGAAAAGACACCCACTGTTTAATATCCTCATGTTTACTTCATTCTAAGTGGTTTTAACCAGAGTTGACAAAGTATATTCTCTTTAACTGCCACAACTATGGCCTGGTCTTCCAAATATTACCCAATATGGCGGAACTATGACTGCCAGACCACTTCAAGGTTAGTGCCATTGTATCGGGACCCTTGCTTTAAAAAAGTAGGGCAGACGTGCTTAGACATTCAAACCCCAAAATTAAACATTAAAAAATCAATAACTGATTTGCATATTGGATTTTAAGGAAATTAAAAAATATTCTTCTTCGGCGGTAATAGAACAGTGAGTGTGGCATGACCATTTGGGTGCAAATGATTTTGTATCTATTTCACGGTGCAATCATTTTAAGGTTTTAACGATTATAGCAGAACTACGGTGACCAAGGTAAAACTGTGAGCCTGCCTGAACTGGTACCGAGTGAGTCGCGGGGTAGTTTATCAGATTCGATACGTCTGGTTCTAAGCAAACACAAGGTAACGGCCTTTAGTGATAATGATTAGCTCGACTGATATGCCTGGCCGAGTTGCATACACGCAGGTGTACAAATGTTTCGTACTCCCATACTTCATCCACTAAACACCCTTTAACTACGCAACCATGACCCATTTTGTGGTCAGAAAGAAAATCTGAATAAAAATTCGCCTTAGTTTACAAAGAAATAATCTTCAAAAGGTGAGAGATCTATGAGGAGGTAGTAGGGGAGAAATAAGGACTCATTTGAGTATGTTATAATGACTCGGTGGTGTTGGTTTCAGTCGAATAATCCAGTAAAACGGTAGATAAGGCAGAAGCAGTCTATCCATGGCCCAATCGGTGACACCACAAACACGTAGAAAGATAATACCCCTTTAGCGCAATTTAGAGCAATGGCGCTTACTCTGTTTACCCCTTAGGATTTTTTCTAAAAGAAATAAACGCAAAATGTGGACTGGAAATTCAGAAACGACGCCGCTTGAGGTCTGTTTATATAAAGGCGACGGATTTACTTTTGTTAAATTCATTTTAAAACCTAGGTGCATTTGTCAGAAAGCCGGATTGTTACTGCTTACCTTTTGTCAGACGTCAAAATAATAAACAAATAAAAAAATTCCATCTCGTTACAAGCTTATAAATAAAACATAATGTTTCGGCATTACATGGATTGTGCTTCACTCTAAGTGCGTGATCTTTTGAGTGCAGCGTGACCTAACTACGATCCCGATTTTCATTTATGGAAAGACGTGGCCCCTATGTATTATTAACTCTGTTGTTCCATTACTTATTACATGTCATATTGCCAGTCTCATCAAACCTCTGACACTGCAGTTGCAATTATAGGGGTCCCATAAAATTTTCAACCAGGTTTGCTGGTGCTGTACTACAGTCTGTCAGTTATCGATGATTTTCTTTTTTTCCGTTAGAAGGTTGGACGCACAGCAGAAAGAGTACCTAATCACGTATGTAATCTTGTGTAAGCGAGACAGTTTTCACTTGGCAAAGTCTTTATAATTGTCCAGTCGCTTTTCCAATTTGCTCTCTAATCTGTTGCAATTAATTAATACAAAATAAATAGAAAATAGTAAAGGCGCGGCGGAAGGATTTTGCTCTACGGGCACGACTCGATGTGTATACATTGAACACTGCACCAAGTCAACCCGGGTCCACACAGTGTGGTAAAGCGCCCAACAGGGATAGATGTTACGTTAAGTTTTACTGATATGTCACTGGCTTTTAGCCCCCGATGTTTTTTATTTCCAATCCCTTAAAGCGAAAGGAAGCTCTCCGTTCACTTCAATCAGATTTTCAGCTCGAAATAAAAGGAATCTCATGCGATTAGAAAAATGCTTCGAGTTGATCAGCAAGCAAAAGCTACGCCGCCAATGAATCACGGACCTCAAGCAGGGGACAACCAGGTTGTATATTTATAGCGAGCTGCACCTCTAGTTAATCACACATAGAAAGAAAGAGAGTTTAAAAAGAAGCGAGTTTGATTTTAACAAATATGTACACAGGTGCTGGTGGAGGTTTCAAGAGGGCTCAAATGCAGGGGAACCCCAGTTGCAATATATCGCATGACGCCCTGTGAGCACACTATTTGCAACCTCTCGACAATTGATCAACCCTTACTCCACATTACATTAAATATATACCCTAACTATATTTACTTCCTCTGCCTGATACAACATTTATAATGGCCTTTGGCTCGAGGCCACGGACTGTAACCCCGGTTCACCGAAATGTTTTCCTCTTGTTTTGAGCCGGGGATAATCGCGCTAGAGTTTGCACACTAGGTTTTATAACAAAGCTTTCCTGTCTGAGGGGAAGAATAACTGATATTTCGGAAGGCATTTTAAATGCCATTTTACGGACTTGGGTAAAATTTCATCTCTTAATGCACGGCGCTTACGCCTGGAAAAACAATTTCACGCGTTTGATGCTAAACAGAGCTGCCAATTCCAAGGCCGTTAAAATATTTTTTGAAAATCTCGACTCTCTACGAGGTTTTACCAAATGAGTCTTGACACATCTAAAACTAAGTCTTTTAAGACCTCGGGGGCACTATTCTTTACTGCTTCTTTTTATTCCAAAAGAGGACTCTCATTGAGTCGAGTGAATTCCTTCAAATATTATCATCTGGTCTGACCTGAGATTTTTATTTACTCTATCCACAGCAGCCATTGTGTTTTTCCCTTTGCCTGTAACGATTTTTGTAAATTGAAAAAAATACTCAGTGACCTCCTCGAGTTTTGGAATATCAAACACCACGTGCCAACCATTTCAACTAGACTCGGCATCCGTTTCTCTTTCTCTCTCTCTCTCTTTCTCATTCCAAAGCTCCCCCTATTTATAAACGTAAAAAATACTGATTGAGCTTAAGAGACTTAAGTTATCTTGTTTTTTCCCCCTTTTTTTCTCAGCAAGACTTTGATATCACGTTGAGGACTCTTTCTTATTCATGTATTGTCCGTTGCAGGTCGCTCTTTAATCAATTCATTCATGATATTGTGTCTCAAGTCGTCAGGCAGAGGTCAGGTTGAAGGGTCAGCGCAGCGTGCCCCCTGTTGTACTACTCTTTCTACGAGACGTACAGGCGGGAATTACAAAGATTTGTAATAAGACAACACTTATACTTATTCCTTATATGTTAAAGAGAAAATATATAACAGAAAATATTTCCTCACACAGAGAATAGTTCCCAGCTTTTGAACAAAAAATTAGTGTTTTTGTGTGTGCGTATAGTCACTAAAAATATTGAATTAATATTTGCTTCAAATTATAAAATCCCCTGCAATTATGTGAGAAAAGTAGTAAAATTAGTACATAAGTTAAATGAGCTTAAGTAGACAGTGAAGGAGTGAACCAAACCCACTTCTTGTTGCCAGAGCCGGTCTGCCAGTCAAGGAAGGGCCGGGTTAACCTCCGCTCCAGCCGGAGGCCCTAGTGATTTTGTGAATTCGAGCCACGGTTAATAAGCAATGTGTCAACGACAAACGCTGTCATGTTCAGGACAAGTGAACAATATCCCCTCTACATCGGGAACGTTGGTGGATAGCACGTTTTTTAGAAATTGTATCGTTAAATAAAAGGTATGATTTTCTGTCTCTTCAGTTTAGGGCTACATATTGCCATTTCGCGTGACACTAAAAGAAAGAGAACTCGGCAAATCGCCCTCTGGGTGTGTGCCTTTACCTTCAGGGGATTAGTGGGCTGTCTTTTATTATTTGTGTCTCGGAGATTAAAAGGGAAAACGTTGTAAATGATTGAATATTTTTTTCGATTGATACCCTGCCAATTAAAATAAATAGAGCATTCACACATTTTACCACAGTATTACCGAACGGGGATTTGGGAAATAAACCACTAAAATGGCACTTAAAAGGGTTTATTAGGTCGGGAACGGAGCTCTGGCACGTAGAGGCTATAGCTGCACGGAATGACTCCGCTGAAATTCTACTTCCCTAAAAAACGTATTTTTTTCACGCTGTATTGCTTCTGGTAGAAAATAAACTCGTGTACAGCAAATCTTTACTCAGTGGGTCTCCAATAAGATTACATGACTTTTTCTGACCATACTGCGAAAGCTAGAAACGATTCTACGCCAAAGAAGAGAAGTACGTTCTATTATTTTTATACAGCAGGTTTTACCTTAGGGTTTTCGGGTGCATACACCGAGCTACATATAGCAAGCTCAGGATATCATGCGGATGCTGCCAAGATATTTGCAAGAATATCTGGGGCAGAGATAATTGACGCCACACTAAGAAACAGTGACAAATTTATTGCCGAACATTCGGTGCAATATTTTATTTAATAAAAAATGAAATAACTCCCGTCTCAGTCGGTACTCTTAAGATGAACTCAAAGATTAAAAGTACGCCATGACATTATAGTACAGATCTTAACGATACGGCGACTCGGTTGTCTTTAATATATACTCGATAAGCAGGGAAAAACGACCGTGGCACATGCACGGAAAGACTTTTCTTCAAGTGAGATAATGAGTGCAAAAATTCTAAAAGGTCACTGCTCCTGTTACAGTGGCTGAAAGGTAGAAAAAGATGACTTAATGCAATCAAGAATTATTAAGCTATATTTTTCGTGTGAATATCCTTTCAACAACAATGCTTGTTTAAGATTGCATGTAAACTTGCCGGTATTACGCATGCTGGAGTCTCGTAAATCCTCTGATTAGCAGTATCAGAATCAAGTATTTAATAATTGGTAAATGGATGGAGAGGAGTCTTTGATATTGTCATGTGCCTTTCGTTGAAGAGTAAAATTCCAATTCATCCAGAATATGTCCTATTTTCCGTAGCCAGAGTGCATAGAACTATACGATTTCACTTGATTCAATGCATTTCGTGTGGTCTTAAAAGTCAATTTGTAGTGCCATGCTAAAAGCTAACGTTAGGGAGAAAAGGAATAATCTGCGATCAAATGGCACGAAAGAAATTCATTCACAGCAAACTGCTCTACGTTTTTCACTGAGAGTTGTAAAAACTGCCCTGAATCATGCGTGAGGTGATTACAGTTTTTGCCGGAATAACACAACAAACGTGTTAGGGCTTCTTTTTTCAGCTAAGCAGCCGTAACCCTGACACACTTTGGTGTAGTATAGCAAATAGAAACAGTAACAGCCGACAATCACACCGATGTTTATACTTGAGAATAACATAAGAAGGATTCTCTGTCGTTACCCAAGGCAAGAACTGAATAGATACCACCACAATTTTCATCGTCATATATTGCTCAATATTGCTTCACAAATTATATGCGTCCCACATATGCAAGGTACAACTCAGTTTGCGCACAGATGATATTAAACAGCGGTTGGGGAGGCCGTATCATTATCATCTCCCCTTGAAAAAAAAACGCCTGGTTCCAACACACAAGGGAGACTATTCAGAGGCCTCGCTGACTGCCTTTTTGGAAAGAATTGGATCAGTGCACACGACGTGGAGGCTGATTGTTCCCACGCCGGACTTTTAGTGGATAAAATGAATAAAAAAAAAGAAAAAGGAAAAATCCCAAAAATACTGCTTTACATATCAATGTTAAAATAGTATCGTGGTGATTTTTAAAACACTCCCTGTGATATATTTGGCTGGCCTGAATGTAAATCTCGGTTCGGATTTTTATTAAGTAATAGTATGTGCATTTAATAATTCGGGTGATCAAAACTGTAAATAATATTTTTATGGTATATTTTGATGTTGATATATTGCGGAAAAATATTTTTGACACATTGATAATCTTTCACGCTTATTTTATTCCATATTTTTTATTCATTGACGACGATTAATAGCATGACATTCAAGTCATTAATCTGTCAGAAAATCTCGAATTCCTACTCCAATTTTTACTTCATGTAACGTTACACATTCATCAATCACCGTAGTATTGTAGTTTTCATTGAAGTCACTCCAAACTATGTTTTTATTTGCCGTAGATAATCCCGCCTTGTCCTCGAACTATACGACCGACATCAAGGTGATTAAAAAACTCCACGTTCTATTGTGTAAATAATGGTTTCTTATTTCGTTTAGGGGTAAGATTAATGATCACATAAATGGCTCCGAAATTAGTCAATAATTAATTATTTAAAGGCAAACAATTTTAGTTTCCTACAAAACAGGTGATATGGTCGTTCAAGCAGAAACGCTAGAGTAGCGACGGGAAACGGAATATTTGTTTTAAAAAGTATATGTCACAAGCAAACTTGAGCTGAATTGAAGCCGAGGAGCCTTCAAGCTATCGAAGAGTTAAGATAATATTTCTACCAAATTGTCATATCAATCAAGTTTGTATTTTCTTCGGCTTGAAAAAATTCATTCAAAGGCAGTGGATCGTATAACATGTTCAGGATATTCCTTTCTTGGAGCTCAGAAGTCACAGTAGTATAAACTGGAGTCGGGGGTTTATTTGAGAATGACCTCGAACAATGGCCCACTAGCTAGCGGCTTTTGGGGAAGTCTTTTCTTAAAATATCAAGTGGAAAAATTGTGTCTGATAAATCGGGTAAACATGGGTATAATTCTTTGATAATTTTCGGTGTCTCGTAATTTTTTTCTGACCACAGGCCACGAGAATTAATACGGAGACTAATCCTATTTTGTTTGCGGTAGAAGTCACAGCTCAATTTGTCCTAATCATCCGGGTTAGTGAATGGGATTTTGAGGGTGAAAATATTTGGACACAGTCATAATTTAAAAAATCTTAGCTCTCACATTCATTTTCTTACCATTCACACTGAAGGGAAATAATCTGATTTTATGATAATTTTTCTAAAAATAAAAAATATATCTTTAAAACAATAATTCTAAATTCAAAATAATAATTAAAATAAACGTATTTAAAAAATTTGCAAAATGTACCTACCTGAACTGAATAAGACTATTGCCTTTAGACAACTATATTCTGCTGAATCCACGTGAAGAGCTTTTAATTTTTCCACTTGTTCTTGAAAGATGCGGATATGGTCCATGAAAGCTACGACCCTGTCCGCCGCCATTGGGGAGGCGTGGAGGCCGGCAGCAGCTAGAAGGGGGGCCACGTGAAGGGGCATGTTACACTGGGCAGCATTCAGTACGAATAATTCACTCCAACATAGCCGCAACAACGCCACTTGGTCTGTGACTTGTAAGTCCGGAAAGAACGGGATATTTCTCGCCCATTCGACCGCGCTGAACAATAACCGTGCTGCCAGTTCGCAAATATTTTCTATGCCCATAATATTATTGGGCTGCATGCACTGTCCATACCGAGATGTTGGATAGGGTTCTGCTCGTAGCAACATGGATATAAAGCTAGACAAATACGTATGTCCATTGAGTGGGTCACCGTTGGTCAGTGCGAGCTGGCCGGGGAAGCCCGGGTGCTGGGTGGGCGGAATGCGACCGCGTTGGACTGCTGTAAGAAAATTGTGAACCAATAACTGAGACAAAAACCCGTATTCACTGTCGATTTCAAAATTCAAAATGACTAAATTTAAAAACACACTGGGACTTAAAGTGAAAATATATGTGCCATAACATGGTGGCTGTTTATATTATGTATCCTGTTTAAAACCTAAATATGACCCAAATCTGTCAAGTCAGGCTTTCTTTTACATGTAAAAAATTAATTTAAAAAAATCTGCACGTCAGTACATCATCAAAAATGAATTACTTATCTCAACGATACATAAACCACAGATAAAATATTTACAAAAATAAAAATAAAGAAAAAGAAAGCAAAAGCAAGAAAGAGAATCCGAGATAAACATTAAAATACACTTGCACTGACGAAGAAAAGAAAAATATTCAAAGTGAGAGACAGAGAGAAACGGAAAAAAGGTCAAACGAAAGGTTGGCCTAGAAAAATACATAAAAATACAGGAGGCCTATATTTTTTATCTGTGGTCAGAGGTGCGTGACCCTAGGCCTAGGCCTATTGCGTTCACCGTGGACTCTCACCTTCTCGTCTCATTCCCGATTTCAAACATTTCTTCAGCCGGCAGTACTGGCATTGGTTCCTATGATGTTGGTCAATGGGACAATTCCTACTGCCTCTGCACGTGTACGTCAGATTACGACGCACGGATCTTTTGAAGAAACTCTTACATCCCTCACACGTGAACTGCCCGTAGTGTTTGCCTGAGCTCTTGTCTCCGCACACCACACACTCGATATGTTGCTGTTTATTCTCCCCCGAAGGCGTCTGTGAACCCGGGGTCTGGCCCTGCTGCTGCCCTTGCCCCTGTTGCTGCTGCTGTGATGGCTGCTGAGGAGGCTGCTGTGGGGTGGTAGGAGAAGTTGGGGTTGCGGGCACCCCCGCGGGTGTTTGTGCCACAGGTTGCACCGGGGTTACGTTGACGGGCACCGGCGGCGGAGGCTGCTGTTGGGTCGGGCTGTTCAATTCCTCGCTGGGATCATGCCATGTGTTGACTACCGGGGTCGTCTGGCTAACGGGTGTCATCGCCATGTTTGTAGAGGTTCAACCGCACAATGCACACTGATCACGACCGCTCTCTGCAAAGTTCAAACAACCACAATTTCAGAAAGGAAACCGTGTCATCTGCTCTTATCTGCCCGACTCATGCCTCGTGCCTTAGCCGGGGAGAAAAGAACCTTAATATGTCTATATCGCTCGCACAGCAGTCTACTACTTACTGTGCGGTGCCCACTATGTAAGCACCTGACTCTACACATGAACTATAAGCGTTCACAAGAAAACGGTCCAGAACACAGAACCACTAATGCCACGGGCCCCACTTCGTGCAGCGGAGTGATTCCTGCTATTTAGGAGCGTGGAGGTACTGACAGATAGCACTCGCTATAGTTTGAACTCTGACATCGGTGTTAAAACTGTCGAGTCGCTATGACAACATCTACCTTATAAGGCACAACGTGTCAGTTAGGTTCAGAGAGCCCATTACGGAGCGACAATTCTAGGCGGACTAGTCGTGGACGAGAGCCAGTAATGAGCGACTGAGAAGCGCGCTAGCATACATTCCTATTGGCTAGACTGCATCGTTTGTTAACCCGTAGAGGTTTGTCAATAATTTCATGCCGATATTCCTCCGCGCAGTATTTACACACACCATCCAGGCGGGTCATGTGGTTCACGCGGGCCAATCACTAGCATGGCTCTAAATGTCACTTGGAAATGTAGGGGTGCTAAGTGGAAGCTACACACACGAATAATAAATTATGAGCGCGTGTGTGGATGGTTTCAGACTGACCCTGGCGGTCAGCTCTTTGACCTAAATGTAATCATTACACTTTTAATTCACGAGCGGAATTTCCAAATTGCGATAACGCACTTTATGTATAACCTGACGGGTGAATACCACCAGAGAAAAAATGTCGAGAGAGAATGAGATATTTCAGCCGACCACTGAAAGTTATGGGGAATATAAGTGGTTCTTTAAATAAAGTGTAAATCTGCCACTTTTAAAACCACACGCGTCCTTCCTTATAAAAATGGAGTAAAAAAACGTTTCTTTATTTACCACTGCCAGAGTTAACGATAGCACTGGTACGGCCACCAAAAGTAGGGAACAGATTAAGTCGATTAGCTCCGGATATTGAGGAAATTTTTAAAGGAAGCGAGTGTAAATCAAACTCAAATGTGTTGAGAATTAATTCGAAAAAAAATATTTGTTTTAATAATAATAATAATACCTGAAATATTTCGGTTGCCTTTTTTTCTGCGGTAGTTGAACTTGCTCTGGGGACTTATTGTGGTTTGTTTCGACGATGAGTGACTGTCTGAGACGGTGGGAACTCGGCCAGCCTTTTGTTGATCTATTAACCCATATCGCGCATCACTCGATACCCTATTACACAGTGTTTATTGCCCATTACAGGGAATTATGTAATGACCGTTTAGACTGTCTGTATTTGCTTAAGGTGCTTTACTGCTCGAAGTTAAATTTACTTGCGGCCCCCTGTAAGCCGGTGGACCGTAAATAGACTGTCATTAGGGGTTAATCCCGTGTATTTGTCAGGGAAATACTCTAAATCCAGCGACTCGGAACGTAATTTTGTCGGTCGAGGTATGCGACCATGGCCTAATCTGATCTTAAAAAATAAAGCCAGTCTTTGTTAAATTAACAGTTTGGAGGGCTGTTGAGTTGATTGCGTTCATTCATGGTCACGGCGGGGAATCCATTCTCCGCGTGACAGATGAGAATTTAGAGGGTCTTGTCTGTTTATAGACTCTTTGACCTTGTTGGTTATGAAAGCGACTGGGGCACTTAAACAACCTAGACGGGCCTTCACCTCTGCTCCTCGCTGCGTAACTACAAGTAACCTCTCAGCAGATATCCGAGGTGCAATTTTGAGGCTGTATATTTTCAAATAATGTGAATTTTATTGTAAAATACAGTCGTCAGCCGAGTATGTCAGAAGGCCTGATATCCGATAGTAACTAGGTAGTCCAACACACGCCGAGGAGCATGTTGAAAAATTCAGAAGAAAAGGTTTCTTTATCGTTTATAGGGCAAAGTTCCAGTCATCAACAAGATGAATCGTGTAACCAGATGTCTTGGGGTCGCGCCCTCATCTCTGGGGGAGGAGCCTAAGACGTGCGTTGGAAACTTATCTTGACAACTGATTGGCTACTGCGAAGCCGGCGGCTCCAACAAATACGCGTACTCCCTTTACAATTATTTCGCCTCAGACTCAAACCAATGAAAATAGGCTTTGCACCAGTGGAGTAGAAAATAGCTAAGCAAAATAAAATTACGGTTGATTTAAAACCAGGCCCGCAATTGCATATAAATATTTTGTTTAGGAAATTTTCCTATCGCGCTCTGCGTTCATTTGACAATGCTTTCTAACGCCTTAACACAATCCAATAATAACACCAACTCTACCTTCTGCACTGATACCGTATGGATGGATGGGCCCGAAAGGGGTCCACAGGACGGCGTGATTCTTAAAAGTTAACACTAAGGTGAATAATAAAGCAAATCTTCATATTTTGCACCCAATATAGAGAGCGGTTTTACCACAAAAAGACCGATCGAAAAGTGGGCGGCCGAAAGAAATAGTGATTTAAAAGCAAATGTAAGGGGTATTTATTTTTTATTATGTTTTATCTTAAAAGGCAGAAGGGAAATAGGAAAGGGGGACTATAAGATTCATAATAATATTAACTCGCCCCCGAGTAAATTAAAAAAATATGACATTCCGAATTGACGTGTAGCAATGACTTGATACGCCTCCTTATCTTTGAGACGAAAAAAAAAACTTACAGTGGACATTAAAAAAATCATTACATGGCAACACAAAAAGTGCAAAGATAGTACGTCTGCCTTGGTACCTCAAAAGACATAGGGCAGCTTACACGAGAGCTTAGTCGACGGTAATCCTTTGCCCCTCGGGAAATTGAATCAATGGAAGGGCAAGCTCATATAATATCGGGTCATATTACTTCGGCAAAGGACAACAAAAACTAGTGAAATCGGGCTACCCCGCTCTATTATGGGTTTGCACCCTAACACAAAGGAAAGAAATCAATGCGTTAATGTTGTTTAACCCCGCTTACAAAAGTCACTCCTGACGGAATGGCAGAGTTGACATAATTTTGAGATAAGACCTCATCGTAACTTCCTTAGTACTCCTAAAACATGGCGTCTTGGCCAGAATCGCTAACTGTTTTCCTAGGCACGATGTTGGCTCGACAGAAAATTATCATTTCTATTGGGGCGTGTATGTGCGCATGGGCCTACGGGGAATCCGCAGTATGCCAAGCACGTAGGAAAAAATCGAATAGCATTGAATGAAATCTTCTAAATTCATCTCTCGACGTAGTAGAGCAATTACTGGTGTCATTTGTCGGTCTAAGTCCCTGTGATAGCGTAAGACTTCACTAGATGGGTTTACTACGGCTTACTACCGCTGGCATGAGAGGCCGAATGAAATTCCGTCTTCCTCCATCATACTCTCAAAAAGAAGTATGCTTAACAAAGCTCCTTAAAAGTATCAAACAATTGACCCTAGGTCAAGATTTCTCGCACCGGCTGACCACGGGTATTTACACAGGTCTTCATTTATATATATATACGACTATTACATGCTCTTGGTTTCCGTGTCACGACTTTCGCCCTTCTGGTCGATAAATCTACAACTTAACATGCTGCTTTACTCCATACAGCTACTCACTTAGTGGGGAAATTTATATCAGTGTCAGGCTTGATTCAAAATTATGGAGGAAGTAAACCGTACGCTACAGTGAAGTACTACGTTACCTGGTTCTCTCAGGTTCGTGACTGAGTGCCAGTCCACGCCGTCGACTTCTTTATCGTGTATTCAAATCCCACTAAGTTTGTTGGATAAACTCAAGTAGTTTGACCTCAGATGTTTGCTAAAGATAAATCCAGAGTGACCCCGAAGACCTGAGGGGCAAGTGAAAGAGTTCTCCGCTGGTAGTAGTAGTAACCACTCGGCGGGCGCCCCAGCTGTGTCACTTGTTGTGGCTTGATATTAGTCCGCGGTGACACCAAGCGGAGTTGACTGTTGACACGCGGCGGCCACCACACTAAATGCACTCTGATTGACAAAAGAGCAAGGGAAGTGACATACCGAGCGGGGCAGCTTCATACACATTAAACTCACGTATTATTTTGACGGGAGTATATTACACCTTTATTTGTATAGCGTGGTTGCGCGAAGATAGCAAAACTCAATATCACAAAGCCGAGTTTACTTAAGAATTAATACTAATTAATAGGTCCAATAGGTTAATTGTATCGACACCCCTTTACGATAACCCGCCGGTGGTCTCCTCGTTACACGGATGACTGCGTAGCGCAACATTTGTATGCTTGAATAATAAAAACGGTGTTTCTGTCATAACTGGGTCTATTCATCTTCAAGTGTCCGCGCAACACTGGACTAAAGCTTAAGTCATATCACTAATGGCTTAACAGCCGCGGTGTAATGGTAATTGCTCGGAGGTGACGGGCCGTGTTGTCTAAGGTGCTATAAACCCTATTTGATCGGCCTAGATAAGCATTTCCCATAGTGCACCAGATGGCAACCGCAACGATCCGGGTCTAGACATAACAACCGCCATTACGTAAGGCCGGTAATTATTCCGATGAACGATCGCTGTTATGTAACCAAGGCGTGCGGATGGATTTTGCGCTGCTTGTTTATTGCTTGGTACATAAACAAGTCACGAGTTTTAATTTGCAAATGTAAACAGATTGCAAACTAAAGGGTGACAGACAAAAACGTCATTTATCGAAGGGAAACGTACACCCATTTCTTTTTTAATTAAATCTTTAATCAACTTTTCATTTTTTCTTTTAAATATTATCTTATACATTCAAAATGGCACTTTACTTGCGTTTTAAAATCGTCGGAGTGAGCTCCCGCTGGTGGAATTCTACTGTGTTGAGGGTAAGATATCTTCATGACGTAACTCGTCTAGACGAACCATAAGCACCAGTCGGTCATCTTATGCACTGCCCACTTGCTACTCAGCGGTCAAGCAGGGTCAAGGGGCACGGTTCGAGTGGATATTTGACCTTTCAGTTTTTAATCATAGAGAGACAGTCCAATTTGACAAATTGGACAATTTCAGGCAAACCATTATAATGAACACGTGCATTTATCAGAAACAAATCAGCTTTCATATCCAAGGGCTGTTAATTAGATAATAATTGCAAATGTTGCCTAGTGGCGACAACAAAGGCATGGAAAAAGTCGAAAGGTTAATGAATTTCATCCATAATCGATAAAATCATTGAGCTTATTGAATAAACAATATATAGAAGCGTTCGTTTTTTTCAGTTTGTAGGTCAAGAGAGCTGGTTAATTTGAGCTACGTGACTAGATTTATTCATGAGGCTC